ATGCAGGACTTCCTAAGCAGCCAAAGTGGGGTCATCTGAAGGATTTACATAGAGCAATAAAACTCTGTGAACCTGCTTTAGTATCTGGAGATCCTACTGTAACACGAATTGGAAACTATCAAGAGGTATAACTTGATTCAGTTATCTTAGAATTATCAATGCTACCTGAAATTTCTGTAACTGAACTAACTAAACTTTTTAACTTTAATACAAATGTACAGGCTCATGTCTTTAAATCTAACTCTGGAGCTTGTGCGGCATTCCTTGCGAACTATAACCCACAATCTTATGCAACAGTGGCATTTGGAAATCAGCATTACAACTTGCCCCCTTGGTCTATTAGCATTCTTCCTAACTGCAAGCACACTGTTTATAACACTGCAAGGGTGAGACAAATGCCAACCGAACTCTTATTTCAAAGGACTAGAGCTATGTTAGTTATATCTTGCAATGAAATTTTATTACCATAAAAGTTTGGTCAAGTATATGCTATTTAGTTGAATTGAGTAATTTCTTTATAATAATTAATTTCATGCAGTTGTAGTTTGTAACTCTTCTGTTTCATGAAAGCAGACATACAGTAAAGGGAGATAATGATATTTTTTGGAGTCTTATGTAACTTCACTTGCATTTGTTTGGTTAGAGTTTCATTTGCACTGAAGAGAATATTCTTGTGTTTCATGAAAGCAGACATATAGTAAAAGGAGATAATGATATTTTTTGGAGTCTTATGTAACTTCACTTGCATTTGTTTGGTTAGAGTTTCATTTGCACTGAAGAGAATATTCTTCTTTCCAAAAGTTTTCAGCAACAATGATAATTTCAAATCTCTTTACAGGTTGGTTCCCAGAGCCAACAGATGAAGATGACTCGTGTTCCTATTCACGGAGGACTCTTTTGGAAAGCATTTAATGAAGAGACAACCACTACTGATGATAGTTCCTTCACTGTGACTGGCCTGTTGGAGCAGATAAATACAACCAGAGATTTATCTGACTACTTGTGGTACTCCACAGAGTGAGTGACCTATAGCTCTGCAGTTTGCCTCCTTGTTTTCTCTCTCTTTCAATCCTGGTTATAACATTATTAATATATTTGCACATTTTTGTTTCTCCATGATTTAAATAATTGTTCCTTTTCTTATCAGTGTTGTGATCAATTCCAATGAAGCATTTTTATGGAATGGAAAGAATCCTGTTCTTACAGTGTTATCTGCTGGGCATGCTTTGCATGTTTTTATCAACAATCAGCTGTCAGGTGAGTAGCATGCTATTGGTTCATGCAAATTTAATAATACTAGTTATTTCAAATTCAAATAACCATTTTCTTAAGTAATATTACAAATATACAATTTCTGTCATTGTATTTATTTTAAATAGTCCAAGTCCAAAAATAAGGTGGAATCCTTACAAATAGTTGGTGTCAAATACCATAACCCATGTTGCCATTTTTCCTTTACCATTCATTTTAAAACTGCCCTAGTACTGTGAGGAACCTAGAAACGGGTTAAGAAGAGATGAGAAAAACAAAGAACGGAAGGAAAAATAATGATTTGATAGTGTTTACTGAATTACAATTTACAAACAGAACCCAAGGAGAAAATTTGCCTTCCAAGAGGTCTCTCCATTCTACAATAAAGCTATTGCTTTATGCTCAAATGATAATAAAACAGAATAATATTCTATTCTACTATTTAAGCTGTCCATCTAAATGATTCTGTAACTAACTACACTTAATGAACTCTAACTGCTTTGTCTTTGTTTTTATTCTGTCATGGGTCCTATCAAGCATACATTTTTTACTTACGAAGCTAGTAGTTGTCAAATAGCTTCAGCATAATCTTAGATACATGGAACCTAGTTAACCTACTATTTATATACTTGTGGCAGGAACTGTATATGGAAGCTTAGATGCTCCAAGACTAACCTTTAGTGAAAGTGTGGGACTCAGAGCTGGTGTTAACAAAATCTCCCTTCTGAGTGTTGCAGTTGGGCTTCCGGTTTGTCCTCTGTTTCTTACGCAGACGCATACATTTTCTTGCACATGCAGATGCACCCCTGTGCTTCCACGCAAATCTGATTTTTTCAGATGAACTCTGGCTTATGAACATTATGATATGTACTCATTTGTTGCCTGTTTTTTGACATACAGAATGTTGGTCCACATTTTGAAAGATGGAATGCTGGTGTTCTTGGCCCAATTACATTAACTGGTCTTAATGAGGGTAGAAGGGACTTAACATGGCAGAAGTGGTCATACAAGGTTCTTTTCAAGGATTCGCTGTGCTTTCTCTGTCTCATCATTGCTTCAGTTTGCTTGAGATTCATCTGAACGTTTTTTTCATTTAGGTTGGTCTTAAAGGTGAAGCCTTGAATCTTCATTCTATCAGTGGAAGTTCCTCTGTTGAGTGGCTTCAGGGCTACTTAGTTTCCCGAAGGCAACCGTTGACTTGGTACAAAGTAAGTATCATAACGCCTCTATAACCTTCAAAAGTTACAGTTACAAAAGGCATGTATTTATGCTTGGTTTAAAGTTTGTTTATATTCTATTGTACTCTTAAATTACTATTTTATTTTCTTTTCATTCTTCAACCCTTCCTAACCACACCCTACCCTCATATGAATTACGTCTTGGCTTCATCCTTAAAAACACATATTCTTCTTTCCATTGAATGTTGGATGGCTGCAGACTTCATAAAATATATTTGTGCTATCTGACAAAACTGAGGTAAAATGAAAAATAACTGATGAGAATGTACTGAAAAGTGGTTACCACATATATATAAGCTGGTATAAATGCAAGAAAAGAGACCCTTTTGTGCTGCACTTGTTCAATGGCTGGCCTTAAAATAACATCTGTTTTATGTTATTACAGACTACTTTTGATGCCCCAGCTGGAGTTGCACCATTAGCTTTAGACATGGACAGCATGGGCAAAGGTCAAGTGTGGATAAATGGACAGAGTGTTGGTCGCTACTGGCCTGCTTACAAAGCATCTGGTTCGTGCGACTACTGTAACTATGCAGGAACTTATAATGAGAAGAAATGTGGAATTAACTGTGGCGAGGCTTCTCAACGATGGTGAGAAATATCTCCCTTGTTCTGTAGTTTTGTTTAATGCTTTTGAGGCACACTTGACAAACTATTTAATTACTGGCTGATAATTTCAGGTATCATGTTCCTCGTTCATGGCTGAAGCCAACTGGGAATTTATTGGTTGTGTTTGAGGAATTGGGCGGGGATCCAAATGGGATCTTTTTGGTTAGAAGGGATATTGATAGTGTATGTGCTGATATCTATGAGTGGCAGCCAAATCTTGTAAGTTATGAGATGCAAGCTTCTGGCAAAGTCCATGGACCAGTGAGAGCAAAAGCACATTTGTCATGTGGTCCTGGACAAAAAATCTCATCAATTAAATTTGCTAGCTTTGGCACTCCAGTAGGATCTTGTGGAAACTACCATGAAGGAAGTTGTCATGCTCACAAGTCATATGATGCTTTCCAAACGGTATTACTTGTTCTATGTTTTCTATGATGGTATCTTTCATATAGTGGGTAGGGTAGGGTGTTATAACAATGTTGACATGTAAGAAACATTTTTTTTTTCAATTTTAAAACTTATATTCTGTAGGCTAAATGATCAATTCAAGTTTAAGGTCCCTTTAGCTGTATACATAATTTAATAATGACTATATTGTTGCAGAATTGTGTTGGCCAGAGCTGGTGCACAGTGACAGTGTCACCTGAAATTTTTGGAGGTGATCCATGTCCTAATGTAATGAAGAAACTCTCAGTGGAAGCCATTTGCACCTGATCATTTTCAACCTCTGAAAATAAATGGAATAAAGGTTCCATGTTGAATTTTTCTGCAATTGAATACTACAGGGTTTTTGAGTCAGCTAAGTTTACAGTTCAAGATCACCACAAGCATTTATTTGGCTTTTACCAAGGTGAAGTTGCAGATGAACACAACACACCATGTGGTTGAAAGCCTGTAGAGATTGCTGGGATGATTGTGGATTTGTGTATATAAATATATATATATTGGTGTTAAGCTTGTTATACTGAGGTGAAAGAAGGTGAAAAAGTTACTTGGTGCACATTGAGATGACATAGATTGAATCCATGTGCAAATTGGTTTTTATCTTGTGTGGAAGTCTCTTGCTTCCTCTAATATTATAATTTTCCCTTGTAAGCAGCATGGAGAGAGCAATTTAATGCTTTCTTGTAAGAAAACTTCCCAATGTAATAATGTTCAGGCATGTTAAATTCAGTTATGTTTTGATTTTAATTTCTTTCTTGTTTCTTGATTTTGTGCCTCGATTGTCACATGATGTTACTATTGAGTTCTTGCATTAGACCCTTTCTTATATAATGGTATCATTATACCCTTAAAATTTCGGATAGAAGATCAAAAGATTTGTTTTATTATATGATTACCCTTAAAAGTAATTACAACTAAGATCAAGGGTTTAAGCCAATATCCATTTCATTATAATTTGCTGATGTAGGCTTGATTTTCATATTAGTGTTCCTTGGGTTAACCATACTACTTGATCAAGATGTTAAACAGTAATTTTAAGAAAAATGACAACTTGTTTTGGAGTTGAATAAAGAATTATAATATAAATTATAATATCTTTGAAGAAACAAGCCTACCCTAATATTTAGGAAACCGTTTTTCAATATATAATTAAAAAATAACTCTTATCATTATTTTTAAATTTCAAGAAAACATTTTTGAGATTTAGACATACATAAAGATAAAAAAAAGAAATTTTTTAAAAATAATAATTTATATAATACTAATTATGGTGTCAATCATTCTTTAATATTTACATAACAAAATTGTAATACTTTTATCTTCTCATAAAGAAAATGGCGCCAACAAAAGATCAAAAAGGTAAAAAGAAAAAAAAAACAGAGAACACTAACTGCATCAATTATAAATAACCAGTCTTACCTCACTGTAACTATCATTTTTCACCCACAAATTACAAAAATGTTCTCTTTTTTCATCATCTTCTTCTTCATCCTACCATTCTGTCTCATATTTCATTTCTTCTCTCCCGGCAAAGGCCCAACCCATTCACATACCACCGAGCCTTCGTCCTCCAATTCCGCCAAATGGGTCACATTTTCTAGTGACAAAGGAGACGACCCGAATCCCGATCCAAACCGGCCGGGTCCGAGTGAGAAGAAGAAGAAAAAGAAGAAGAAGAAAATGAACTCAGCGGGGGAAGATGATGCACGTGATAAGCGTGAGGATGACGTGGAAATAGAGAATTCGGATTTGGGTATTGGATCCGAACCGGGTTCTTTGTACCCGTTTAACTCTTCAATGAGTCTTGTAAAGATTAAAGAGCAATATGAAAAGCTCGTGAATTGCAACGAGTCCAAGGACTTGAAACTCGACCAGGTTATTCTTTCTTCATATCTCTTCTTTTCTTTTTTAATATTTTTAATTTATTTCCAATCATTTCATGATTTTGATAAGCTTCCATCTATATGGTATTTTTGTTATTCAATTTTTTTTGGGTACGTACAAGTATATGTGTTTTTCCTGTAATCTTTAAAAGAAAATTGCATATGTGACATGTATTAATCTTTAAAAGACTATGATCATCTTTATGGCAGTTTCAATGTGGGTTGCTTTATTAAGAGTTTGGAAAAAACTTGTATACTTTAGTTGCTGGGACAAACAAATTGAAATGTAAAGTTTCTTAATATACATTTACTGTATTTTATAATTTTAAGATAAAGAACGTGGTACTGTTAATGGTGTTTTGGTGTTGTTGAATTTTACTCTTTTTAAAACGATGATTTTGTAATATGGGACGTGTGTATACAATGTTTATTTGAATTAAAATAATTATAACCACCAAAAAGAATTAAAATAGATGATAAATATTTGTATATGGGAGATAAATCTGGGTATTTCAATTCAGTGCCTTTTTGAAGGTACATGTAATAGGAACGAGTGTTTTGGGGGAATACATGGTCAAAATATATATATGGTTGATAACTTTGTCTTTCTCTATGAGAGTCATGGATTGGCCACTTTAATAATTTCAAAATTTTACTATGATAAAGAAATTTTGATTGAAAAGTATTTATAAAATAGAAGGAACTTTGTCTAATATTTAATAAATAGAGAGTTTATGAATGAGACAAAATTTATACTAAACACATTTTTATCAATTTTATACAAAAATAAAGATTGAGTTTAAGTATAACATATTTATAAAATTTAAGGAATTTTATGCATGTTTTAGAAATAAAAGATATTTTATATAAAAAGGTTAAATAAAAAGGGGTTGAAATAATTTACTTTAAGAAAAGCTTAGGTCAAGGAGCTTTTATCGTGTTTCTTTTTTTTTAATTTTATGTTCTTCATAATCATAGGTGGTTTTGGCTTTAAAAAACATTGTAGATGTTCTTCTCTTCTTTTTTTTATTACTTGCAACTTCATAAAATGTTATTCTCTTTTCAAATGAGATAGTGGCATCAGATTTAATTAAGCACTCTTTAATTTCATAATGCAGGTTCTACCGTTTGCTGACTGTTTGGTTGATGTTAGGAATAAGCTACAGAACAAGTATGTCCAAAAAGCATCTTCATATAGTTTTTTCTTTTTGTTTATTCCTTTGTACTCTTGACATTTGTTTTCAAATGTAGATGAAGAAAATTACTTTTCTCCATATCACTTGAAGCTTAATAAAATTACACACAATGTCCCTTTTTTTTTTGTTTATCATACATAAACTTTTATTAATTTATATAATAACATAATATTGTATACTTTTCTCCACATCACAATCTTTCTTTAATTTCCTTTACGCATTAATGAAAACGAAGAAAGGTCCAAGTTATGTAGAAAAGGTAGGGGTGTTGAGAGAATTTTCATTTAACTTCAGGGAGTGTGATTATAACTTGACCAATTATTTAAAAATTTAACTCACTTGACTTGTACATGCAAATTCAGATTTTTTTGTTTTATGAACTAAATTATTTTGATACTCTTCTCAAGTTGAGTACTTCAATATGTTCAATGCTATTCTGATTGCTTTCACGCCCTGTTATTGTAAAAGGGCTGAAGAGCTAGAAGGGTCCTTTTCAGTAACAAAGGCAATGTTCCCATCAGGCAGAGGTTATGAACTGCGTCAGGTTAGTTTGATTGCAATATGTATCAAGGGAAACATTATGTGTCATACTTTCATTGAGTAATAGTTTTTTCAACATTTCGGAAGAGCAAGCTTGAATTGGAGCAAAAACAATTAGAAGAGGATGTTTCTGTTTATAACTGGCTTCAACAGCAGCTTAAAGAATTACCAGCATTCAAGAAGGTACACGACTCTGCTGAATTCGCCCCCTCTCAAATGTTTTATTCCTTGCTTGTTTCTCTTTATTTTCTTCCCTCTCCCATTTTTCTTTTTTCCATACTTGGAAAGTGGCAATGTTATATATACCAAAGCTTTGCATATGATTAGTGTGTTAAGTTGTTCATTTTATGGCTTGTGGAGCCTACTTCTAATTCTTTTATTGGCTAATGTTATGATTCTAATCCTAATAATTAACACTTGGCAAATAAGAAATAGAGTAATTTTTTTTATGATATCAATCAGTTTACTGTTTGATTAAAAGAGTTACTTGCAGAAAACTCGTACAAACTTTGTAACAGATTTTATTTATTTATTTATTTTAAATTATTAAGAAAAACAAATAGAAATAATTGAATACAATTCTCAATTTTAATATAATTCATATCTGACAAATTCTTGGGTGTTTAAATTTTTTATAATTTATGCATATAAACCATGCACTTCTTGTTGTTCTAGTTTGGCACTAAGGGTTTGTAGATGGTATTGTACGCTACCTGGTCTCTGTTTATTAAAGATTACTAATGCTTACTTGTTAACCGACATTTTGCTATGATATAATATATACTAATTGCTCAAAGCTCTGTACATAAAGATGCTTGAAATTGGAGCTTACGTTGAGAATGCAAAATCATTTGAGTTGAAAGACATAGTAGATGAACCCGCTGAAATTTCTTTTCAAGAACTTTTAGAACGAGAAAAGAAGGATTTATTTTGGTTAGTTACGTTTCGTTTCTTCTTATTATTATTTTTAATTTAAGTTCATGACAGCCTTTTCTCGTTTTTTCATTTCTACTAAAGAGGAGTGTTGGGTTACCGCTCACACCAATAACCATATTTTGTGTACTTGCTTGCACAGGCAGAAAAGAGGGAAATTGAAACTGGGGTCAAGCCAATGACACGTGCCATTTTTTTGGTGGTTTTATGGAATAGATGACACACCTTGGAGTTTCTTTCAGGATTTTTTTTTTTTTTTGGTTGAAGTCAGTGAATTGACAATAGATGGATGTGACATTAGATATAATATGAAAACTTCTGAGGTTTTGTTTGAGTTAAAACGAATATGAGGTTCCGTAATACAAGTACCCAGCTTCAATTGTATCAATTAGTGCTGATTGAATATGAAAACATTCCCACATTGCTGATTGAATATCTCATCACTTCGTTGTGTCATGTGAAAATATGCAGACATATATCATTACTTCAGAAACTACCACAATAATATTTGAAAACAGTGTAACAAATTAACAGTCCATCTGCTACTCTAAAAATAAACAAAAAGGGTTTTCAAGGGTGAGGGGAAGGTAACTTCCCAGCAGTATTTGCTCGAGTCCTCTCATTCCTACGGTCACTCAGGTTTCAGGTTCTTGTCGTAATCATCCACTATACGGCGCCTGAAATCAGTCAATCTTCACCGAAGAGTAGATCTTGCGGACAAACCAGAAGCAAGCATAAAAGCCAATAGTTCCCGTCAATACAAAGAAGGCATATGAAACAATTATCATATATCCAAAGTAAAGGATGCCCGAGACCAGCTTTGTAATCTCCAACTTGGTAAAGAAGTAGAAAATTGAGTAGAGGAAAAGGTACAGAGCTGAGGACCCAGCAGTAAGGTAAGATCTCCACCACCAATTGTAATCCTCACTGCACAATTGGAAGTAGCAAAGCACAATCGTAATCTCCGCACAAGTGATTAATAGGATAACAAACACTATGAAAAGGAAGCCAAAGATGTAATAGAACTGGTTTAGCCATATTGATGTCAGGATAAAGAAGAGCTCGATAAACACTGCACCAAATGGAAGAATGCCTCCAATAAGAATTGAGAAGACAGGTTTCATGTACCATGCCTGCTCAGGTACCTGCCTAGGAATTTTATTAGTCTTCACCGGGTCTTCAATTGCTGGTTTTTTGAAACCCAAGTAACTTCCCACAAAGACCAAGGGTACTGATATGCCAAACCATAAGCAGACTAGAGCAAACATTGTTCCAAAAGGGACTGCCCCGGATGACTGCTCCCCCCAGATTAAAGCATTAAGCACAAAGAAGACGGCAAAAAGAATGCCAGGAAACATAAATGCAGTTTTTAAGGTATTCCTCTTCCATTCTGTGCCCTTGAACATCTTGTACAATCGTGCTGAAGAGTAACCAGCAAATAAACCCATGAAAACCCACAATAGAACCATTGCAGTCATGAGACCTCCCCGATTAGATGGAGACAAGAACCCTAGCAAAGCAAATATCATTGTCACAAGTGTCATTCCAAAGATCTGAACACCTGTACCAACATAAACACAAAGCAAGTTTGAATTGATTGGTGGCCTGAAAACATCTCCATGAACAAGTTTCCACCCTGTTTCTTCTTGAGCTTCATCTTGGGTTTCAAGCTGGTTATAATTGGCAATGTCTCTGTAGAGAGTTCTCATCATGATCATTGCCACCATTCCGGACAGGAAAAGTACAATCATCAGAGAGTTAATGATGGAGAACCAGTGGATCTGATCATCATTCATTAGAAGATATGTGTCCCACCGTGATGCCCATTTGATCTCACTTTCCTGAAAAAATCCCAGCAAACTTAGCTTATTGAATCAAATAATGAATGACATGAAAGTTGATGAGTAGCCTAGATTTTTAATCAGCAATACCTTAAAGGAAACATCATATGTGAATACAATATCCTTGTTTGTATCAACTTCCTGTGGGACAGTACTACCTTGCATTAAATTCTTGGTATCTTTATTGCATGTTGTTACCTGTGGATTCTTGTCATTCCACTCCTTGTATTCGTGATTTATACTGTTTACAGTTATAGAATTCATATAAGAAAGAAGAAGACACATTAAGCAGTCAATTGAAACCTAAGAAGAATGCAATCAAACCATAGAAGCACTTTATTTTTGAGAAATACATTAAACACATGTACAAGCAGAAATGCATGCAGTAACCATGAAAGAGGACGGGAGTATCTAAGAGCCCACTTATACAATATCTATGACAAGAGATTATTTGTCTTTAAACAAAAGTAACATCACGAAGAAGGTAAGATCTATTAGATAATTATCCAACTAATCTGTTTCATTTTTCATTCTTATGAACAGCATCCTATTACAGATATAAAATATAAAACCAGGTAAAGTTCAACCATGTTATGCCAACATAAGAATGCAATGCCCCCTTAACTCTGTGTGTGTGTGTGTGAGAGAGAGAGATGGGAGAGAAAAAGCACAAGACCTGTTTGGTGTGACCTCAAAACCAACAATACGAGCAGAACCAGTTTCAGGGTCCTTGTGAAACATAACTCTAAAACTCAAGTGATTATTGATAAAATATTTCTCCTCCTTGCTCTGTAGGAAATTGTCAATTTGTAAGGATATGGAGCAACAAAAATGATACTTGAAAATTTAAATGAAATTCAAGCTGAGTTATACCCCTTGATAGTTTCCTTTGAACCCAACACGAAAACCATGTTCATATGTTGTTGATTGACTTCCATCCCTCCTTTGTCTAAGAACAGCAACTGGAAGATTATCCAAAATCCTGCATGTTCAATTCAAAGCATCAAGGGTCAAGGTCAAGGGAATACAAATCAGAAGCCTCTTGACAAGCACCCAAAAAGCCAATAAATCATAGAGAAGTGATTAACGGCTCATACTACACAACTAAGCACTGCCTTCAATACATTTATCACTTACATGTTCACTCGATATTCATCGTCAATTTTTTCTTTAAAATTCTTTGCCGATTCAGCATCCAAAGTTACATGACAAACAACAGTACAAGATTGTTCCTTCCTCATATGAAACTGAAAAGAACAAAACACAAATTCCTCAGGTTAATGCAACAAAACACCGAATCGATGGTTACTGAATTTCATCATTACGTTAAATGTTAAAGAATGAGGTCACAAATGCTCACCGTATACACAGAGTTCTCGATGCGATCACCTCGAAGAACTTCTCCCAAATTTTCTGCATTATTCACTATATCTTTGGGTTTGCAATAGTTCAAGTAGTAGTAGTCATATGGAAGTTGAGTCTTTGTAGACGATAATTTGTTCACTTTGACGGAGAGGGGATGACCCTGGTCCCACACACACACACACACAGAAAAAAAAAAAAAAAAACCCTCAATATCTTTAAGCATAAACAACAAATCGAAATAAAGCTTTTTCAATATCAACCAAATTTCTCAAACCAACAGTTACCAATTTGCAAACGACACACTACACAAGTCACAACCTAACAACAGTTTCCACGTGCACCTATCAAACAATAATCAAGTTTCATAAATCATCACATGTGACGCAGAGCCTTAAATCAGTGTAGATTGGGATTCAAACACTGATGAAAGAACTCGAAGCTGAAAATGAAGATCTCGTGAGATTCCATTTCCGAACTGGCGACACAATTATCCTTCACCGGAACTAACGATTATATAACATAACATTCTAAATTCAAACAACATCAGAACCGCGGAATCATCCAAAAGGAACTCAGTTCTTTCAGGAAAACAAAATCGATTATCCAAAACCACAGCGCAAAGCGAATTAAGAGTGATACCACACAGATCAAAGCTAAAACCCTAGATCCGAGCAGTTTCACGAGAAATTAAAGGTGGCCGAGAAACAAAAGCAGCATATCGCATGAAAATTCGAAGAAGAATGGAAAATACACACAGAGAGAGAATAGAAGTGGAAGACTTACGATTTGGAAATCGCGAGGAGCGACGCCGGGAAGGTAGAAGGAGTGAACGGAGGAGAAGAGGAAGAGAGGGAGGAAGAGGAGGGAGATGGCGGTGTTAGCAATCATCGTCTTCTTCTTCATTCTTCTCAGTGTTGTTCGGGGTAAGAGTGAGAGAGAGAAGAAAAAGGGAGAGAGTGAACTCAAAGACGGATAAATAAATATAAATAAAACCAAAATGAAATGAGGTGCTACTGTTACTCAACTCACTGCCCCAGATACTGTAATAAATTGTATTCATTAATAGTTAAGTAAACTTTCCTCTCCATGTTTATTATTCGTTTATTAAGTTTCAAATTTTTTATTTTTAAAAAATATAAATACAAATAATAAATAAAAATTTTATCTAAAAAATATTTGCTTTATGATTTTAATATAATAAATATGTATTATTTTATAAATTTTTAATTTATAAATGCTTAAATTTAGCTTAATAAGTTAAAATTAATAGTTTTTTTTAAAAATATATGTTCAACAAAACTGAATATACTATATCAAATATTATTTTAAAATTACTATAAAAGTATGTGATGATTTTTTTATGATTTTAAGATAATAATTTTTTTATTTAATAACAATTTTAATGAAGTTAAAATTTGCTTATTTTTTAGGTGTTGTTAATAGTTTCTATTAAATAAAATTTTAATTTTATTTTGATAAAAAAATTTATTTCATATTATTATATATGATTCATATAAAAATGTAATTTTAATTAATAAAAAGTAATAATAATATCTAAAATTTTATATTTAAATTTTATCCTTTTACTAATATGTACAGTGACATATGTTAAAACCTTTTTAATGTTAAAATATTGAAATTATTTTTTTAATATGTGCTTAAAGATATTTGCTAAAATAACATTAATATATCTTATTAAAAGTTTTTAATTACAATAAAGATTATATATTAACTTTTTAAGTAATTTTAAAATAATAATATTTTTATTTTTTATAAAAAATTAATTTTTTATTTTTAATATATTTTTAAATATGCATAAAAAATTGTTTTAATAAACTTATGATTTTATATTATTGAAGTTTTCTTTTTTTCGCCCATGAACTTTTATTATAAAGTTTAGATATAATTTATTTAAGCATTTATTTAATAAATTATTTTTAAATAATAATTTATATCATAAGTTTATTTAATTAAAA